TGATCCAAAGTAATATTAATCAAATACAAAATTATTTTATATTTTTCCTTTTTTCTTTTTTTTTGCATTTTTTATTTTTGATATTTTTGGTTTTTTTGTTTCAAAATCATTTGAAATTCACATATAATCTTTGCCTAACTGCATAAGTAGTACAAAAAGTACACCAAACTGGTTCGATTTTTTCCCAAAACCATTACTTTTACTTTGAACTCTACTGAGGAAATTAAAGTCCCATTAACTAAGGATATATCTCTTAAAATAATTTAATTTTGCTGAAAAGGTCTGTGGTAAAAATGCACCATATTAAGTGATTGCCCACATCCTGACCATCAAGATATTTTATTGCACCTCAAGTAAGAAAGAATATATTTTTGTGAAATTCCAATTTGATTTGGAAACATTTTATAGGCTCGACTCCAGACATTACACAAAGAAGACTTAGCAAAATCCCATCCATGGACCAAGTAAGTAATATGTATATAATTGGCACTTTGTAACCGCCGAAGCGATTTTCGGTCGAGCTCCTCCTCCAATTTGTGGTTTTGCGTCCTGATGTTTTTTCAACAAATGGAGGAACCTACAGTTTATACTTCAATCTATTTTCCAGTTAAGCAACTGGTAGTTTTAACATGTCGATGTCCTAAGAACTATCAATCGTCACTGTACTTAGATATAAGCTTCATACTAGCTAAATACCAGTTCATATATAATATTTAAAATAATTGTTCTTTAATACCAGCTGAGAACTAGTTCACCTTAAGCCAGTCCGAATTGTGCTAGTCAAAAACCAGTTGGATTGATTCTGGCATTCCGAACGGTTGAACCGATATAAAATAGTTTTTTCCGTGTTTTAGGTAGATTTGGATGGTTTTGAAAAGGTTTTTTCTCGCGAAGTTGACTTATTTGAAAAAATCCCACTTATGGTTAACTTTAAATGAACTTCAGTATACTATTTACTTTTAGGAAGTATATCAGATATCAAATTCCAAGCTTAATTAGGGATGTTTGTCGTATTTTACAATTTTAATGGATGGTCAGGCTTCGGTTAGTTATGAGGTCTGAGCTTTTGTTTTACAAATCGACAAACCGGTATGAATTTATACGCAGAAGAGTAGTGAATTTACTAAATTTTTGGCAAAGTAGTCCATATTTTAATGCAAAATTCTGGTATAATTCTAGTCTATGGCAAACTAGTATATTTTTGCGCTTTAGGTACTAGTCTGTTTCTGGTTTATAACTAACTAGTATGGTTTCGTCCTCAAAATGCTGGTTTGTAACTAGAATGTTTGCATACTATTCTATCATTTGACTTTGGCCTCGTGTCTGGATTTTATATTTCGATATGTAGTAATATAACCATTCGGTTTATAGGATAGGTAAGGTTCTATAGTCCAGTACTATTGTTCACTAAAATGCCAGGAAAGAGGAAGCAGAAAAAACCAAAAATTTTTCAGCTCTTGAAAGATAGTTCGAATTATGTCAGTTCTAAAGACTTTCTGATGTTGCCCACAAATTAATTTTATTTACTCTTGAAACACTCACAATTTAAATACATATATGTAACCGCACACTACACTGAGAAGTGGGAGGAGTATTTTTGGAACACCTCTCTTTGTTCTCGAAATAGAACTATGGACTGCCGGAATTTTTTATAGGTAAAGTTTAGCTAACTCAGAGGCATCTCATTGTAATCCGGAAAGAAAGTAATAACGATTTTTGCCACTTCTGCTTCGATCTTGGCCACACTTTTTTAGTAGCAGAAAGAGAAACTTCAGTAGTTCGGTTGGAAACTCGATGCCCGAGTAGAGGCTTGAAGCGATATAAGCCCAAGCGAAAACCGATGCGACAAGTGGGGTGACAATGAAATACTCAGACAAAGAAGGGAAATTTAGAGGGAAGTTTCTATGTCTATTTACTAGGGACTCTCAACTTCTTTAATGTTTATGAAATGCTGGTTGTAAAAATTCTCGAGAATCATATTTTTAAATACTTTAACTCTTTAGTGGTTCATCAACTTCTTTTTTGAATAATATGCTTGAAGTAAAGGCCAAAGTTATATTGTTGATGGGAAACTAATGGTCCACAGTGTTCTAAAAATATGTTTTCGTGAAATTTACGTACGAGGTGTGAAAATTAGATAATGAAACTGATTGCCGCGATTGTGGTAACCCTGCGCTCTTGCTTTTCTAGTTCGCCTGCTGTGTAGTGTTGAGTTAGCGTGTGTTTGTGGTGTTCGTCATGAAAATGGGAAAACGAATGCAAGAGAAACGCGTCGTGATAAAATTTTTTCGCCACATTGGACGAAACAGCTTCAGAAACGAACGTTAAAATTGTAAAAGTGCATGGCGATAGTGCTCCTAGTCGTGCACAGATGTTTCGATAGCATAAAAAGTATAAGGAGGGCGTGAAAGCGTGGAATACGAGGAATGGTGAAAACGATGATTATCGGATTTTTTGACAGCTTTTGAAGCATCTACAAAGAATTGCTCCCACCGAGGCAAACCGTAAATCAAGTGTACAATCGCCAAGTACTCGAAAGATTGCGAAAACGAGTCAACACGGTACGGTCAGACATCGCTCGTAACTGGATCCTTCTTCACGATAACGCACGGTGCCAGTATTTGGTCTCTAAATGGATCGCCGTGCGGAAACAGCCATCTTATTCGCGCGATATGTCAGCCTGTAACTTTTTTTTTTTGAGGTACAAACTGAACCCAGAGTAAGAAGGTTCGTGCTCTTTACCAATGATTAGTGGTTAAGCTGATGCTATCCATAATAAGTAATACACCACACAGCAGAATATAAAAAGTATTTTATTTCTGTCTTAAACTTTTTCTTATACATTTTATACTTTTTAACATCAAATTAACCTACTTTTCTCTCTCCCTTTCTCTCGTTAAAATAAAATCAAGAATAAAAAATGAAAAAAAGTCACTCTGTAAATACTACACGACAATCTATACTACTATTTGCATAACAATTTCCCATTGAAATGTGAAAAAAGCAGAGTAGCAAAATAATCTTTTTAATACTTTTTATCGATTTGAGTTGACTTAAGTTACGTGGCATGGCATTATCAATAACGAGAAGGCGAGCAGCAGCATAACAATGTACGAGCAACAGTAGCAGCAGCAACAAAAGGGAGCACCCAACCAACGCAGCGAGTGAGTGAGTGCCACTCCAAAGCGGACATGACCAGGCCACATTGCACACCTTTTGCAAGTATGCAGCTTAGAAAGGAGTTAACGCCAAGCAAGTGGAAAGCTAAAAACTAATAAAATATAAGGGAATGTAGCGCATAAAATATGCAAGACTTGTATCGAAGCTTGAGTAGATGTAAAGTAGGTGCCAGGCAGCCAATGGAAGTAGCAGAGACAGGGGTAACAGAAGGAGTAGAAGAAGCAGGAGCAGCATAAGCAAAACTAAGCAGTTTTTCATGCTACAAATTACGTGCAACAATTCTGAGTAACTTGAATTAAACACACTTTCAGTAGAGATAGAGGGTGGTAAAAAGGTAGCAAACTGTCAGAAGAAAGGTAGTAGAAAGTTAGCAATACAACCCAAATATACAAACAAAAATGCACAGGTGTGACAGTGGGTGGAGGGCGACTGAATTTCATTTGAAATTACATAAACTTTTTAGCAAAAAAAAAATTAAATTAAAAAAGAACAAATAAAATTATAAATAAAAAGAAAATAAAATACAAAAAAAATTTAAAAAAAATAAAGATTTAACAATTCCAGCAGCGCTTGCACAGCTCCAAGTGCCGCGCTTGCTGAAATGAGCTACATTTTTGCTAGTCCCCATGCAACCCTGTATACCATATTTTAGCGAAGCTAACTTTTTACGCTTTTCTGTATATACATTACCGTTACTTGCCGCTCGCTTCGCTCTTCGATTACTAAAACTGGCAACTGGCAAACCGACATCGACGTGCTTTTCGTGATTTTCATGCAAATATTGAAAAATATATACCCTCGAGGTATTTGCAAGAGGAAAAATAAGAATTTGAAAAGGAAACACAAACACATCTGTGTGGATAAAAAGTGGCAAAGGAGCAGATAGTAAAGAATATTGACAGAAATTAGCTGCAGCAGGTATTCAATAACGGTAAAGCTGCAGCGTATGAAGCTCGCTGGGGTGGGGCGGTGTGCGAGCGAGGAAAGTCTCAACATTTGAGGAACTCTATATTCTTGCGACCGCTCATGTGTGAAACTCTTTGAATATAACGGTCGAAAAGGTAGCGTGTATAGGTATTATTGTGGTTGTGGTGCTGAGGGAAGCTTGCACAGCCCCACTCACACACTCATGTGGCAAGCAGCAAAATTTTGTAATTCAACCAAGCAACTTTGCATAAATTTAACATGTATAGAGGTGGTGCAGGAGAAGCACACAGCAAAAAAAACTAACAAAAAAAAAACAATCTATAGTAAAGCAAACATATTGTAGAAATGAGCGTTATTTGCAATGTATGCTGCGGCAGCGTGACAAGAAAGTAGCAGTCACAGCAGCAGAGACCCTTTGGGTGACAACGCAGATAAAATGCGCAAAGGTTGTGTGCGGGTGAGATGCTTACACACACACCCCCCCAAGCAGTGCAGCCACAATTCCCCCAGCGTCTCCTTCCGCCATCTCAGCGTTGACTCGATTGACTCCAAGTATGCGTTACGTGCTCTGCTTGTCTTTAATTTTATTTTGTAGAAATTTATTTTATTTCTCCGCCTCTTCGGCATACTTTAACCCTATCATGTCTTTGGGTGAGCAGTTCTTCGCGCTGCTCGGCGTCACTAAGTAGCGCCATATGCATTTAAGTATTTGCACTTTGGTGTGCTGTAAAGTATACATGTATGTATGTACATAAAAATGTGTGTTTGAGTAAGACGTTATAGATATGTTTGCTTGTGTGTGTGTGTGTACATATATGCTTGTAAATTTATTTATCTTTTTATATAAGATTTATTTCCATGTAGATATGTATAATATTTTCTGACGAACTCACCCGCAACCTGCAATGTGGCATTCCGACTTCTCGCTACGCCCAACTCATTTTTCGCCTCACACCAATAGACGCCGGCATCTGTTTCACGGCGCGAATTTACAACCTGTAAGTAGATGAAGAAGAAGAAGAGGAGGAACGTAAATATACATTGATGTGAACTTGTTATCAGTGCAAGAAATTATAATTTTTTGTTTTAGGAAAGTGACTTTTTTTTTGTACAAAGATCAATTTATATGTTAATATATATACGCACAAAAGTACTTTTAACTGTTAGTTTTTATATAAAACATTTTCCTGCAGGAATGCAGAAAACATTTTACATATTAAGGGCCTTGATTCATCGATTTGCTGTTTCTTCAGGCGGATGGGTGGTATTTAAAGCATCAGTGTTTTCTTGAGAGGTCTCACTGAATATAACTGAGCTACTCGACGCAATGAAGAATATTAGACGGAAATTTCTTCTACCATTATATAATAGTACATCTGATTCCAGATTAGTAAACCGAACGTATGGAAAGAGGTTTAAATTCAACCGACACCAAGCTGGGAAATCGAAGAGTTGATGCCCCAATACCCTGCCTTTTGCAAATATAAATCCCCTAAGATCTATTTTTGGAAGGCAGCGAAAGAAGCTAAATACTGTGACATTGCTCGAAGTACTCTATTATGCTTCCCGGAGAATTGCAAAGCTTAAGCTTTTTGATCTCGCGCGAGAGTCCGTACCCGATACTCATAATCGTAGCTTTTGATTTTGGTTGCTTTTGATTTGGTTTCCTTTAACAGTATTATATAGAAGCCAGAAATTCTACTGTTTCAACAAGTTCCGACCAAACGAAGTGGTGTGTTAGCCAAATTAGCTTGAGGGGCATGCAAGATCCTCCTCCTGTCATGCTGGAGTGGTCTCGTTGGCATTCATTAGGAATATCAATATCAAATCTGCTTAAGTAACAGCTGAGAGGATTTTCGGAAGAGCTTTTGCACCAATTTGTATTGTAAGTCTTCTTATTTTTACCCAAAAAAAAGGATCAACAGTTAATTTCGAGCCGCCTCTCAACAGAAATGCAGGTCTCGACGTTACTTACTGTACTGTTTTCTCTTGTTTTGGCTATTGATCTAACCAGGTTTCGTATCCTGGTCTTTGGAATTGTGGTACTCTTTGTAAACAACTTGGCTCTTCTATTTTACTTTATTCCATTTTTTCGCTGTTTTTCGCCAATTGGAGATACCAAGTAGAGCCAGGTCCTTTTCTACCTGGTCTTTCAAACGGAGTGGATATTTTTCTCTTTCCCTGCTCTCATCGGCGGGTGCTGCATCGAAAACTATCAAAGCTGGAGCGTTCGAATCCATCCCGACCGCATGACCTAGCCAGCGTAGCCGCTGTTTCTTGTTTAACTGAACATGTACAGCTCATCGTTCCATCGTCGGCGGTATTCGCCGTTGGCAATATGAAAAAAAATATAAATCTTACGCAAAACCTTTCTCTCGATAACTCCTAACGCCAACTCATTAGATGTTGTCATCGTCCATGCTTCCGCACCATATATCAGGACGGGAACGATAAGCGACTTGTAGGGTTTGGGTTTCCTTCGTCGAAAGAGAACTTTTCTTTTCAACTCCCTACTCAGTCCAAAGAAGCATCTGTTGGCAAAAATGATTCTGCGCTGGATTTCAAGGCTGACATTTTTATTGGTGTTGCTGCTGGTTCCTAGAGGGACGAAAGTTCAAACTTATGGCATTCAGCAGTTGCGTGGGAACCGAGTCACGAATGCGATGACTGTTTGTTTGATAAGAGGAGATATTTCGTCTTGCCCTCGTTCACTACCAGACCGATAACCTTAGCTTCCCTATCCAGTCTGGAGAAAACAGAACTCCCGGTATGGTTGTTAAGACCAATAATGTCAAAAGCTTCGGCGTATGCCAGCAGCAGTAGAGTGGTATAGGTCGCTGATTGATTCTCTGTCGATGATTAATTGCGGCCAGAGGTGCTGTGATGTTTTATCGGTTAAGAGTTAACGAGTGCGGAGCATGTCGTTATGCTCTCTAATGATAAGTGTCTCGACCTGGTAGTGATAAGCAGGAGACGCTGCATCCTCCTTGTCCTTCGGAGAGGTCTCTGACAGGTCTGTAGTCTCCTTAATATTGTTTTATCAAAGTCCGTCGTCCTCATGGGTATACTTGGGTTATTAACTGGCTTGCCGAGCACCTGTGTACGTTGTCAATGATACAGGCACAGCCAGCTAACAGTTGGGAATTCCGTTAAGACTCGGTATTTTGGTAATGATCGTGGCCACGTGTGTGGTGAAAGAGCACAGACTGTCAAAAATCCAACGTTTATAGACATTTCAAGTTATCATAAATTCCACTTTGAGCAGTACTTCTTCATCCAGTTCTTGCAAAGTTTCGCTGCAGATTTTGTAGGTTGAGACGAAGTCAGGTTTCTAGATATAAAGAATGACAGAGATATAGCAATTTGTTCTCAATATTCTTTCTATATATCAGGTTTAAGCAGTCAGTGACAAATAAGTCAAGTAGTAGTAAGGGTAGTGAACAGGGCTCTGCTTTTCACGCTATTCAATTTTATCAGCTTTTCTCAGCAGCTCGGTGACGGCGCTATTGGTGCCTTATGTGTTCTTTCGCTTATAACGGGGTGGTAATAAATGGTTTCCAGGAGCCAAAAAGCTTACTTAAGAGTCATTATTTCTGTAATGGGAAAACCTGTGTCTAGTCCTTACAACTTTAGGGTGTCAGTGGTTAACGCTGAGAAACACTTTACTTTTATTGTTGAAAGGCGGTTGTCAGTGACGAATTTCAAGTACTCTTTAGAGGTCTTAAAGTAGGGCAGAGAGTGTAGCCATTATTAAGGCGTAATGTTTGATCTGTAGGAAATCCAGAAATGCAACGATGCAATTGGTTCGATAGTGCCTTTCTCGGCTGTGTGAATATTTCATGGTCGAAGCTAGAAAATCTGTAAGCCAAGGCAAACAAAAGCAAAAAAAAGAGATATAAAAAAGATGTAGAGCAAGTGTCTCAAAGTCTGTCTCCTCGCATAAGATATATTATATTGAGAAGAGCACACTAAAAGTTGTACTACTCAACTAAATATTTGGCTAATGTAGTACCAAGAACAAAAGTTGACTCAAGTCAAACAGAGCCTTTTGACTCCTGCTTCCCGCAGAAATCTAGAGGCATGTTGGCAGTGGAACTTCTGAAAATTACTCAGTTTTGTTGGCCGTCTAACTGAAGTGAGCACAACTAGGTCGACCTACATACTCTGGTATCCGTTCAGCTGATTGCTCTAAATTTTATACAAATATTTTTCCACTCCAAAAATATATTCTGCTAATGAACAGTAATATTTTTAGAATTTCATGTTATTTTTTCAGTGGTTGAAAGTAAAAATTACATTAATATATTTCTACAGTCGAATCCTTCACTACAAGAGTGAAATCTATTCTTTAAATTACCCAATTTATAACAAATCAATCGCCATCAATTTCACTCAGTAAATTTAACCCGGTACACGCGGCACAAAAAATAGCTACAGTAAAAATGAAAGAGTGAAATGTGCACAACACTCGAGCTCCCAGCAGCTGCCCTACTTATGACACACTGTTTTTTTGCACTCATTTCTCTCACTCCTGTCACTTTGCATCCTTCAACAATTTTTATGACACATAAGTTTGCTAAATTGCGTCTCATCATAACCGAGCTATGATTTATTGCTGCAATTATTTACCTACTAAAAAATGTTTCAACATCCTTTTTGGCTTACGTAAATATGTACATACCTACATACACGTACACAAGTGTGTAAATGAGAGTGTGTTTGTGTGTGTGTGTATGTGCCTGCTGTGGGGGCGAAAATGGTAACCAAAATTTTTTTTTGCGTCAAACTGAAATCCTTTCGATAATGCAATTCATCAAAATGCAAAACAAACATAACAACAACAACACACTCTACGTGGTTGATCTACTAAAAAATTCACATCACTCATGACACAACGTGTGTGGCATGTGGTACTGGGGAAGAGCCAAGCACACACATACACACCCAATCGATTAAGCGCACTTTTGGGCGTTCACCTTTACATCACCACGACTGCTTACCTTAAGTGCAAGCTTATTTGTGTGTAAGCATGCGTTGTATGCGCTGTGGGAGTGGTAATGGAAAAGTGAAAGCATAAGTGAAAGTGTACGTCGGCAATGTACCAATTTGCATATTTTAGCGATATTTTTTCTAAAAAAAAGTTAAATAAAAATGCAAATTGCCCTAAAAGTACTAAAATGTGGTAAATAAAAAATGGCTAAACATTAAATGTGTTATTATTTTCAATAAATTGTGCCTCCTCAGAGAATATTTGCGAAATCAAAGGTTGAATGTTAAATCTATTAAACTTGTATATAAAAAAGAAGAGGAAGAAGTAGTAAAAAAATTTATTTAAAAAAATAATTAAGGCTATAATAAAAAAAATAAAATTAAAATTTTGACAATTACAGAAATTAAAAAAAAAAAATTAAAAAGTAATGAAAAAAAAATAAATTAAAAAGTACAGAAATTCAAATAAAATGAAAATTAAAAAAGTAATAAAAAAATTTAATAGTTGAAATGAATATGAAAAAACCACAAAAATTTAGAAAAAAATAATACCCAAGCGTAATAAAAATTACAACTAGAACTAAAAGAGAAATAGAATAAATTTTATTAATTATGTTGCATATTTCTAGGCGAAAATTTTGTTTTTAAGGTTAAAAAAACATAAATAAAATGAGTAAAAATAATGAGTAAAATAATCTTTCTTTTCATGAAACTCTTCCATTATTATAAAGTTTAAACTTTGGCATAATCTTAGGTGCAGTAAAAAGAATTCCATTACTTTTTCAATTGATGGCGTTATTTATCTGTATCTCGCGTTGCATAAGTCCGATCGGTTTCCTCTAGATGGCTTTAGAAAGATGACATTTCATACCTGAAAAACTTTTTGCACAGTTTTGTGATTGGTAGATTCGGTTTTGTTTGAGCGTGCGTCAAAAATGGTCACTAGACTAGTAAGGAATAAATACGCTATATTTGACAACTTTTCTTCGACAAAAGGCGAAAAGACA